AGGATAAAAGCACCAACATCTTACTCATCTCCACCTGTATTAAATACCAATACAGACAGAATGTCAAACTGTAAAATTCCTTGGCAACCTAAAGCCTGCATTTCCAGGCTGAAGGCAGTGCTGACAGCAGATATCAGCTGCTGCATGACAAACAGATCATGCAAATGACCTCTGATGGATTCAGAAGCGGGAATCTTACAGTCTATCTGTCCACACCTGTACTACATGAAAATGAGATTTTAATTCAACCAGACCACCTGATAACAGCAAAACACTGACTGAGGGTCTGAGAAGCTGCCATCAAAGATATATTTATATATTAGGTATCATCTTTTGAGTATCATGATCCATTACTTTACCAGTTTTTGCATCTTCCCAGCTGCCTATAAGGCAGAGCTTGGATCTCATCAATAATGCAACGAAACATCATGTTTATGCAATTCACACAATGACAGAGCACTAGTACATTATAGTGATTGTAGCCACATACTGACAACATCCCTACAAGCATACAACACTCAAAAGCATGACGAAAGTTATTTAGGTTAAAATACATAATAGACTATAGTATAGAGAGTGTAAAAAGGCAATAAATACTCACCTTTTGATTCTGTTTTGTGCAGGCTCTTATCGCTTCATGGTAGCACAGCACACAGGAAAAATAACTGTAGTGCCATGGTGATATGCAAATTAATGGATCACGCTGCATACAAGGACATTTATTATTAATAAATTACTCATGTTTATGCAAATTAGGTTACACTGCCCTACTCAAATAGGAGGTTGGTAATTTATTCTGTCTTGCTTCATAAGCTTCAGTGGCTTTATAAAAAGGCAAATATCTGATCTAACTAACTGTTATTCATGTTAAAAAAGTAAATTGTAATCAACATACATTTTTATCAAAAGCTTTTATTTTTGTGTAAAAATAAGTCATTTAACACGGCTCAAACATTTAAACCAAAATCGTAGGACAAATTAAACCTTAATAATGTAATACATATTGATGAAACTACAAATCTGGGTTAAAAAGAAAAATACTACTTGATGGAACCACGTTTCCATCTTACTGTAGGGCAGGGATCCTCAAATCTGGCCCACGAGATCCACTTTCCAGCATGGTCTTCAGGATCATTAGAAAATCACAGGTAGGCGAGTTTGATCAGGGTTGGAGCTAAACTCTGCAGCGCATTGGCCCACCAGGGCAAGATTTGAGGAACCCTGCTGTAGGGGAATGGGTTATAACCATAAACACTTGGCGCCCCCATGTGGTCATCTGAGAGAGCGTCTCAGTGTACGATTGTTATGATTGTGCTGAAATAAAGTTATATTTACACTACAAAATGGACCAGTCTCTAAAAATCGACAACACACATCAGTCCATATGCATGTTAGGCTTGAAAACCGTCACAGAACTTCTCAAAACATTATCAACCTCTTTTTCAAATTGATGAAGTTTAAAGTCGCAGAATCCTCTGTACAGTAACCCAGTGGCTTCATAGCCTTCTTCATTTGCCACAGTGAAGGTACAGTGACCGTGTGTAAATCACCGTTAAGCTCAGCCGTGACCACTGTCGGTTCGAGTTTCCGTTAGTGAGTCACTTTCATCGTTAGACTGGTCCGTTATGCGCTCGTCAGATTGTTGGAGAACACGATCGGACGCACTTGTGTCCTCAGTTTGGTCGCTTTGTGGATTTTCTGAACACTGGTCGAGCTGGAACATCTCTCGTACAAGTTTCTCTCCGGTTTTAAAGCGGTTGAACCAGTCAGTGCTTGACCGAAAGTTACCGAATCCCATGACCCTAGCCAACCGAGTCGCTTCTGAACGACTCATTTGATCATTTACAGTAATACCCTTCTCTCCAAAGCGCGGCTTCAAGTTGACGCGCCTTTGTAGATGTGAAATTCATTATTGGTACCAATTGTGCCACCGTCTTACAATCAGATGATCGATTATTTCGGTAGATCTGGAACATCCCTCGTATGACTCCCTCTCGGGTTTTAAAGCGCGTGAGCCATTCCGTGTTCGGTCTGAAGTTACGAAAACCCACAGTCCTGGCCAACCGAGCCGCTTTTGAACGAATCGCCGATTCGTCTACCTTAATACCGCTCTCACGAAAATGACCGATCCACCGCCACAGTGCAGCTTCGATTCGATGCGTCTATCTGGCTGGAAGGTTGTTCTTAAGGCTCCGCCGCTTTATTGTCGGATTTGGGCTCTTCTGGTGCGTCTCCCTCTTTTCAGTCGACCTGGAACATCTCTCGTGTTTTGAAGCGTGTCGTCAACCACTCTGTGCTCGCCCTGAAATTACAGAGACCCATTTCTGTAGCCATTTGAATCATCTACTGCAATTCCGTCCTCACTAGAAGTATCGATCCGCCTCCAGAGTGCAGCTTCGACTCGAGGCGTCTTGCGAGATGGAAAGACAGTCCTAGGAAGGGTCGACTTGGCATTTTTAATATTCCTTTTCCGAAGCCAGACGCAAAGCAGAGGCCCTGATGTTTAGCAAACGTGCTGCGGCTCTTTGGGACGTTGGAGGAAGTTGGTTATATTTCTCGAGTATACGCTTCCTTTCCTGAATTGGTCTACGTTAAATATTTCCTCGTGGCCATGTTTACGTTCTTAGAAGTGATGGGGATTTGAACTCTGGCGGCGATTCTTTTAAGTCGAATCTTTTCAGTGAATCGGTTGAACCGGTTCGATCAGAAGGGTTCGTACACGAATGGCCTCTTGGGCACGTAGTGACGCTCCGTCTGTGACTGTGTATCAAGGATGGTCGTACAAATATCAAATGGTTTTAAAAGATTGAGCTATTGATCTCCTTCAGAAATTTCTGGAGGGCCACTGCCCTGCTGAGTGTAGCTCCAAAACACCCTGCTGGAAGTTTCTAGTAACGTTAGTCCTCAAGACCTTGATTAGCTGGCTCAGGTGTGTTTAATTAGGGTTGGAGCTAAACTGAACTGAACTTGACAACCCTAGGGCATCAAGTGAAATAATTGCTGAATTGTTTGTTTGAACTGGATCGTTTCAACAAACTGTTCAAAAGAGTCGATTCACAGAAATGAGCCAGATTCGTGTGAGTGAGGAACACAATTGACATCATCCAAAGGCGACTAAAAGGTGGCGTGATTCGTACGCACTTGGCGCCCCCATGTGGTCATCTGAGAGAGCGTCTCAGTGTACGATTGTTATGATTGTGCTGAAATAAAGTTATATTTACACTACAAAATGGACCAGTCTCTAAAAATCGACAACACACATCAGTCCATATGCATGTTAGGCTTGAAAACCGTCACAGAACTTCTCAAAACATTATCAACCTCTTTTTCAAATTGATGAAGTTTAAAGTCGCAGAATCCTCTGTACAGTAACCCAGTGGCTTCATAGCCTTCTTCATTTGCCACAGTGAAGGTACAGTGACCGTGTGTAAATCACCGTTAAGCTCAGCCGTGACCACTGTCGGTTCGAGTTTCCGTTAGTGAGTCACTTTCATCGTTAGACTGGTCCGTTATGCGCTCGTCAGATTGTTGGAGAACACGATCGGACGCACTTGTGTCCTCAGTTTGGTCGCTTTGTGGATTTTCTGAACACTGGTCGAGCTGGAACATCTCTCGTACAAGTTTCTCTCCGGTTTTAAAGCGGTTGAACCAGTCAGTGCTTGACCGAAAGTTACCGAATCCCATGACCCTAGCCAACCGAGTCGCTTCTGAACGACTCATTTGATCATTTACAGTAATACCCTTCTCTCCAAAGCGCGGCTTCAAGTTGACGCGCCTTTGTAGATGTGAAATTCATTATTGGTACCAATTGTGCCACCGTCTTACAATCAGATGATCGATTATTTCGGTAGATCTGGAACATCCCTCGTATGACTCCCTCTCGGGTTTTAAAGCGCGTGAGCCATTCCGTGTTCGGTCTGAAGTTACGAAAACCCACAGTCCTGGCCAACCGAGCCGCTTTTGAACGAATCGCCGATTCGTCTACCTTAATACCGCTCTCACGAAAATGACCGATCCACCGCCACAGTGCAGCTTCGATTCGATGCGTCTATCTGGCTGGAAGGTTGTTCTTAAGGCTCCGCCGCTTTATTGTCGGATTTGGGCTCTTCTGGTGCGTCTCCCTCTTTTCAGTCGACCTGGAACATCTCTCGTGTTTTGAAGCGTGTCGTCAACCACTCTGTGCTCGCTCTGAAATTACAGAGACCCATTTCTGTAGCCATTTGAATCATCTACTGCAATTCCGTCCTCACTAGAAGTATCGATCCGCCTCCAGAGTGCAGCTTCGACTCGAGGCGTCTTGCGAGATGGAAAGACAGTCCTAGGAAGGGTCGACTTGGCATTTTTAATATTCCTTTTCCGAAGCCAGACGCAAAGCAGAGGCCCTGATGTTTAGCAAACGTGCTGCGGCTCTTTGGGACGTTGGAGGAAGTTGGTTATATTTCTCGAGTATACGCTTCCTTTCCTGAATTGGTCTACGTTAAATATTTCCTCGTGGCCATGTTTACGTTCTTAGAAGTGATGGGGATTTGAACTCTGGCGGCGATTCTTTTAAGTCGAATCTTTTCAGTGAATCGGTTGAACCGGTTCGATCAGAAGGGTTCGTACACGAATGGCCTCTTGGGCACGTAGTGACGCTCCGTCTGTGACTGTGTATCAAGGATGGTCGTACAAATATCAAATGGTTTTAAAAGATTGAGCTATTGATCTCCTTCAGAAATTTCTGGAGGGCCACTGCCCTGCTGAGTGTAGCTCCAAAACACCCTGCTGGAAGTTTCTAGTAACGTTAGTCCTCAAGACCTTGATTAGCTGGCTCAGGTGTGTTTAATTAGGGTTGGAGCTAAACTGAACTGAACTTGACACCCCTAAGGCATCAAGTGAAATAATTGCTGAATTGTTTGTTTGAACTGGATCGTTTAAACAAACTGTTCAAAAGAGTCGATTCACAGAAATGAGCCAGACTCGTGTGAGTGAGGAACTTTGACTTTATGTTTTTCAGCCTGGAATAAATGAATCCATGTTTCTTGATGATCAAGAAGAGAAAGTGCTTTTCAGACACTATGAAAAGAGATTGCTAGACTTCAGCGCTATGTTCAAGCCTGCGATGCCTAAATCTGTTGTGGTAATAAATATCACTTTTATCAGTTAAAGATGAGATCTAGCGTGCCGTTCTTGCTTTTTTTTATTTTAAAACTTCTATATGTTTTTCAGGGCACAGCTTGTATGTATTTTCGAAGATTCTATTTGAACAACTCTTTAATGGAGTATCACCCTCGGACGATAATGTAAGTGTATTGATTTGAGTGAGACTCTAATAACTCATGATCGTATATATATATATATATATATATACGATAATGAGTTATTAGAGTTCTGACCTTCAAGTCCTACTTTTGCAGGTTGACATGCGCATATCTCTCCTGTAAAGTGGATGAGTTTAATGTGTCCAGCACTCAGTTTGTGGGGAACCTTCAGGAGAGCCCTGCAGGACAGGAGAGGGCTCTAGAACAGATTCTGGAGTACGAGCTGCTTCTCATCCAGCAGCTCAATTTTCACCTGGTTGTTCACAATCCTTATCGGCCCTTGGAGGGCTTTCTGATTGACCTGAAGGTGAGGCTAAAGCCTGGTTGTAGACAGTCCCACCGCTTGTTTGGGCCAATGTTATGATGTCGGGCTGCTCAAACATTTTTAAAACTTGCTAAACAGATTATTTAACTGAATTTAAGTGCATGGTTTCTGTATTCTCAGACCAGATACCCATTGTTAGAAAACCCAGAGATGCTGAGAAAGAGTGCAGAAGACTTTCTCAACAGAGCAGCAATGACGGATGCCGGACTCCTCTTCTCTCCGTCTCAGATCGGCCTCACTGCCGTCCTCAACAGTGCTGCACGTGCTGGCCTCAAGATGGAGGCGTAGGTTCCTCCTTCAGCATTCAGAGATTCTAGCAGTTGAGATGGTAGGACGTTAAAAAGTATTTTCTTTGACATTAACAGATATTTGACCGAATGCATGGGGCTTAAGGAGGATAAAGAGACCCTCTCAAAGATGTATGAGTCAATGAGACGTAAGTATTTTTCTTTTCTTTTTTTTAACTGTTAAAATGTCTCTAAGTAAGAGATGCATAACTCTGAACACTTCTGCAAAACCGTCATAAAAGGTCTCAGATATTCAGTGGGTAAATCTGTGGCCTATAACTTCATCAAAGTTATTTTATGAGAGGTTTATCTCCTAAAAGATCTATTTTGTTGTGAAATGCCATTTTGAAGAATAAAGAAGACCCATTCGAACCCTTCCATACTTTAACCCTATGAAGACTTCATGCACACTATTCAAAAGTCTAGAATAATTTGACTGTATTTATATTTCTAATGATAATAAAAACCTTTTGATCTAAAGACTTAAATGGCCAACAGACTCGTGTAACACTGAAGACTGGAGTAATGGCTGCTGAAGATTCAGATTTTGCATAACAAGAATACAGTACATTTGAAAATATATTAAAATGAATTTATTTTAAATAATTATTTTCGAAATTTTACTGTTTCACTCTGTTTTTGATTAAATAAATGCAGGCTTGGTGAGTGAATTCTTTTAAAAATATAGAAAAAAACTTACCAAGGTAGTGTACTGTATATCCATACATCAGAAGTTTTGATTTGTTGTGTGTTGTGCAGAATAGTAACTTATTGGGCAAACCAGTTATTTGGAAGCTTGCTGTATTAAGGGCAACTTTTGTCATCAAAGATTATTATTTACCTGTTATTGGTGCATTAAGGATATAAATGTACAGTGTGGACCATAATATTGTGTCTGTTTTCATTATAGGGATAACTAGCCTTATTAAAGCATATGAGCTTCCCAAAGCTGAGGAGGTCAATACCTGCAAACAGAAACTGGAAAGGATTCATGCTGAATTTGCTACAAACTTGTGAGTATTCGTTGGAAAATGTAAAATCGATGATACGACCCTTACCGTTCTAATCAGATCAGTCTGTTTAAAAAGCACACAAAATTAATCGTACTAAGAGTTTTATTCAGCCAGGTTAGTAACTTTTTGTTTTGTATCTAAGATGCAAAAGTTGTGGTTTTTGAGTATAAAATATAAAAATAAAAATACATGAGCTACCTGAAATACACACACAGACACAGACACACACACACACACACACACACACACACACACACACACAC